TTGCAAACGTTTACCATTGCATTGGCGCTCGCATATATGTTTCACCTAGGTTTGCAGCACACTTTGTTAGAAGTTGTTGTTTTTAGTTGCTTGCTATCTTTCCATATGTAGCCCTTGGCACTGCGGGTGACTTTCATGGGTGGGTGGTGTTTGGGAAGTTTGCAGTCATCGCAGTGCCAGACAGTTCTTGATCGCCTCCCAAGACAAGCTCCAGGAGTGTGGGGGTGCCCATGATTGAATGGAATATAGCCCCAACGTAGACTGGTAGACTGTAGACGTTGAGTGAGCTAAACACTGGCGTCCCGAACGCAGTGTGTAACTGCTTTTCTGGTGGGGTGGTGTAGTGGGGTGATATTACACAATGACAACCAATTGACAACACCATCAGTGAAATAAAGGAAACATGTTTGGTGCATGCAACTGGACTTTACTTTAGCTTAGCTGTTCTTGAGCAGAGACTTGGGGGCTGATTTTCAGGATCCAAGTGTCCATTGACAAATCTTTGGTTTGACTGTGCGACTGTCATCACATCCAAACCGAACTTAGCTCCAAGTCGTTAAAAGCAGATTATCGCTCTGAAAGATGATCCTCAGACACCTCAGACCTCGCAAAACCTTCTGCATTGAGCCTGCACGAGACTTTATATGTGCTACTATGGGTATATCCACTGATCATCCAGTCGGCTCCCAGTTTTAGTTTGAACTGCCAGAAGCCGTGTTCGATTTCTGGCGCTTGGCATTTGAAACAGCTTTGAGACCCTTCAGCCACTCCCGAAGTGCACGCCCTTCTCATAAGAAGTGATGTGAACTTGTGCTCCGGCCACCACCGAGACAGAACTTTGCGCTTCGCGAGTCTCGCATCACTCGCGCCGTGCATCGCCATGCGCAAAACACATCGAAGGATACTTAAATGTTTGCAGTGCTTACTATGTTACAAAACTTACTAACTGTTTAGCACACGGGGTGTTCTACTTCTATCTTCAGTTGCTGGACTTAGTATGTGTAACTGTACATAGTGTCATACATGTTAAGTATCACAACATTAGTAGTGCACGTAGAAGGCCTTCACCTGGAAGCAATAAAAAATTACTGTAGCTTATTCAAAGTAATTAAGACCTTCACTTGCCAATAGACAATACACTTGCATTCCTTCATGCACCTCAACAATGAACTATAATCTATGGCAAGGACCAATAGTATCTGTTTTAGATCATGGTTGGCGGTTGGCCCTTGCTTTTCGCATGAATGTGGAAAGTGGAAAACGTAGCGATGCAAAAAGGCTCCATCAAGAGGATTTGAAGGAGCAAGCTAGCACTGCAGTCACTGCATCAATAAGGCAATTAGTCGTCAAATGGTGCATGTACTTTGTGTGTTTACCAGGCACATTTCCGATATCAATATTTGGAGTCGGACAATTGAGGCTTGATTGATTTCATGGGACACCAGACTGTGGGGCCTGAAATGGCCTGAAAACCACGTTTGTTTGCCGTAGAAAACCCGCAAACAAATCCGTAGGCGTAAGAAACCCATTAAAATGACGTAGACGACACATAAAATCAAGTATGTAATGCAGTTCTACAATTTGTTTGGAGGTTGTCTAAGGTGCCATTATGAACCATTATATGGTACATTATTGGCTTGTTGATACTTTTGTACGCTTTGTGCCTATCCCACATATTTTTTGAAGCAGTGGAGCAGCAAAATGTTTTGATTCCGGAATGGCAATCAATGCGCTTGAAAACTCCAAGGCACAACAAACAATTGCTTACTCAGACTCGGGTGAACACTTCCCATGCTATTGTGTGTGTTTTTTTAAAGGGAGTCCCCTCTCCACAAGTCTTGGACCCTCGAAGCTTTGCTGTAAGAGCGACTCGACAGAGAATGCTTGCCCTCTATCATCCAACAGAAAAAACTGCTATTAGCGCTACTAGTCACCCACACACTATTTTTCAATCTTGAAATTGTGCAAAGGATTGTTTGGTGTTGTCTTGTGGGTCCTTGTGACGCAACAATACACTTCTATGAAATACAGCCAAAAAGCTAAGCTGGACAATAGACTATTTGCACTTTACAATAGTAAAGGGTTGAGGCACTTTGCAGGGCGCTTGCACGCCTGAAAATTAGATGCTGTGTGCCTGACAATCCTAAGACGCACAGCCACTCTTGCTTGATTTTTTTGTCCATTGGAACTGCTTGGTTCTAACTCACTAAAGCATCGACACCCATCGTTGCTCCAATTCTGCATTAAAAAAAGCTCAGTTTGCTGTTTATTGTTTCAAGGTGGATGGCCTACCTATCTATAATGTATGGGCAATTTGCCAGTCACAATTTTCGTTATGTCGAAGTGACCAGTCGACCTCGCAAACCTTATTAGCCCCTTGTACACAAACTAACCATCAAGCTCAACAACTGTGTGAGGGGCCACAAAACAGTTCCATCAAGGATGAGGTGCTTTTGCCTGACCAAAGCTCGCTCTCGATGTTTGAGAATGAGCCACAAAGCTGATCATGTGCACGACACTCATGCGCTTAGGAGTTTTCTCTGGCTTTGGTGACAATGAAAGCATTTGGTTTGGCAGCACGTCACGTTTTCATGTCAAACTTTAAAAAACACATCAGCTAACGCACTGCACCACTTGTTGCAAATTATATCATCAGGTGAGGCAAAACTTCAGGTAGGCAAAAAGGGTGTGCCTTCGGCAAACTTCAATAAGCGCAGTATTGAAATCGCACGTGTTGACACACGACTTAGACACAAAGATATGTTCCAAAACTTGAGCCAAGTTAAAACAACCGGGTTTTCCGGTTCATGACCTATAAAGTTGGTAAACGAAAAGCACTTACCTATGTCATGGGTTTGGGTGATCATGGCTTTCTAATCAATCTACATAAACCGACCTCACCAATCTCCTGTTTTTATCAATCTATGAAAAGCTGGCCTCACCAATCTCCAGTTTTTTTGTTTAAATCAATCTTTAAAAACTGGCCTCACCAATCTCCAGTTTTTGTTTAATCAATTTATCAAAAACTGGACTCACCGATCTCGAGTTTCTTTTTATCAATCTATAAACAAACAAACTAGCTCACCAATCTCCATGTTTTTATAAATATTTTGAAAAATGCACTCAACAATCTCCAGTTGCTTATATGTTTTATGTTATAAAAGAACTGAAATCTGACAATCCAAACCTAGCATTGCTTCCACTTTACTTCAAGCACTGACCTCTATAAAGGGGCGTTTGTGTTTCTTCGAGGCAGCAACGGTTATGAAATATGCTGGTGATGATGTTCGCTGGACGTTTGTTGGACAAAATGACAAAATGATGTTGTAGATAACCGTGTAATTTGTAGAACTATATGGCAGTAGAAACAAAGGCCTGACATTCACTCTGACACTAGTACAAGTACTTGCGCAGGCTAGGCTATATGTTGAGACCAACTTTCTTTCCAGCTTAGGGGAGGCGTGGTTCTGAAGCTTTTGGCTCTGGATTGAGCTAAAACTGAATCATGCTACCATGCCGCTTACATTTGCTTACTTATATATCTTTGCAAAGAAGTGTATTCTACAAAAGGCGGTCTTTGTTTTGAAGTCAGTATCGGTTACGCACCATGATGGTGGTGACGTTGTAGGTTATGGTGTTGGATTCTTGTTGGACAAACATGATGTCGGAGGTGACGCCTGAAGGTGCTGATTCTGTTGGTTCCGTCCGTATTGGTTCTGACCTATGTTGTGATTGATGTTGCGGGTGGAAAGTTGGGGTATGTAAAGTTTAATGTTGAGAGTGATGCACAGTTCTATGATTTAGACCATGTCCTTGAGAGTTCCTGTGAGGAGATGTGCCTTTGCCGTCTCATGTTCTTGTTTTTTTTGAATTTCGATCCACAGCCCCAAGAAGCCAAGGCAGAAGATGGTTGATCTCATTCCCAACCGCTCCATGTATGCCATATATGCCTACATTGACCCCTCAAACCACCCCAATGTAGGCATATATACCATACATGGAGCGTCTGGGATTGGTTCCAGTCTAGCTCTCTCTAAGCGTTGCTTTTCATGTTTTCCATCCAGGTTAGTTATGTTACCCTTGACCCTTCACATCCCTTCACTAAAGCCTAAAGCAGCTGAACTCCGGTGGCTTCAGAGTACTTAATCTACCTAGGGGTACAGCTTTTGAATTGTTCAACATAAGCAATGCGTCAAGCATGTTGCATTGTTTTCCAGCAGATGCATTTTTCATGCTGAATATGAGCTGCCCCAAAAAAACCGTTTTAAACTGTTTCAAGGTAACGACGCCAACAGGTCACATTCCAAATGGGACCCCATCTCACAACATAGCCCTTTCCCACCAACATCACTGACAACACAGACTTTAACATATCTCAATTTCCCAACACAGTCACAACATTGAAATGTTCAACACCTTTTTTCCACAACATCAACCACAACATAGTGCACAACCAATTCCTGATTCTGACTCATGAAACTATAGTTGAGTGGAGTGGCTGATGCAGTCATCACATTGAACCATTATTGATTTCAAGTTCAGGACATGATATACATATATACTTACATATATATATATATATGGATTCCATGAGTTCCAAAACATACAAATACATGTTTGATATTTGATATTCAATGTTTTACTCTTGTAAGTGTGAAATGTAGCTGGCACCTGCAAACCTATATACCGAAGATAACAACTGGATATATGTGACGCACTCCAATTGTATAATATGCCTGACAACACACATACAAAACATACAGGACTTATAGCTTAAACTAGTGAGGTTACAGCTGTATATAGAATGATTATAAGTACACATATGTTTGCCATACACAAGATACCAAACGCACGATTTAAGTAGCAGGCTACTCACCAGAAGCAGCAATGTGGAACATTCGCCCAGAAGTTCACCAGAAGTGCCTTTTCTTGGAAGTATCCAATGATACCCCATGCCAAAGCTCGCAAACTCTTCCAGGACCCAACTCCCAAGCTGTGGAATGTTCGGACGTGGTCTGGGCGCCGAGATCTCGGGTATACTTCCGGTCCACAGGGTGCTCTCGGACGCCAAAAGGATCAAAAAGGTTTCATCGTTGTGACGGCATGGCGGCGTTCACGGCGATGAGGCGATCTATGGCTCGTTCACACCTCCGGTGCCTGCACCCATGACGCAATGGCACTTCGAGGAGTTGATCAAGCTGGAGCCATGGGTGCAGGAGATGCAGCGATTGGCAGGCGCTGACAGCTGTTGTTGTTTTGTTTTTTGTGTGTGTTTTCCGGTGGGTGACTCGTTGTAGTGGTCCTATGTCAACCTCAACCTGACATGTTTGGTGACTATATATAGTACTGGAAGATCTGAATCTCTAAGAACTCCGGCGAGCTTTGTCCCTGCGGGTGCTCCTTGCGACATCTTGAATTCCAGATGGGCAGCCCGGCAGCCCTATTTCCTTAGACACCTGCTTCTCTCTACGCCAGTGAACCCAGTTGACCACCGTCAGGGAGTCCAATGCCGCAGAATTTGCAAATGGTCGATGCCGGAGATCATTTGATGGAAGACGTCCTGACACTGCAGGTCGGGCCACAGGGTCGGGGACGGGGGAGGCCTTTTCACTCGATGACTGAGAAAAGCATCGCACACTGTTTGTAGATGGTACTTTTGTTTGCCGTTTGACACTGGGATTCGTAGCAAGTCAGTGCCTCCCTTGCCCAGCAAACAGAATCACATGGAATAAACAAATCGAACGAATCAGCCAGTTTGCATCGCTTCCGGATGGTGTCACCTTCCGCGTCCGGGTTTCGACAGCTCACCAGGAAGAGTACCTCAAGGAAGCGTTGGCTTTGAGACCCTCCTGGCCCGGCCAGCGAATGGACTTGGCCGTGCAGCAGATGGGGCTGGCCCGTAAGGTGCCATGATCATGATCCGAACGAATGGCATTTTTCCGAACGATGGAGTCTTGGGTGGCTTTTTGAGAGGAGATACCACCCACTGGACAACCAATAATTGTAGATAGTGGCAGTGATAGTGGCATATATATCTGGTAACACATCGACCCCTTTGGATTCTCAAAAGGACATCACTGAATCCGAACTCAACTCTCAACCGGAGGCTTTGACCGGGTGACCCCGCCTTCGGGGTGAAACTCTCGGTGTCCGGGTCGACGCGGTTCCCTCACAGAGTCGAAACATGAGAGGACGATGTTACACAAAAAGAACGGTTTCCTGCTGACAGCTGATAGCGGATGTATTCCAGGACCTTCCAACGGGTGCTTCTTGGACAGCCCTTAACCTCTAAGAGGCTATTTATATAGACACCTCTTGGAAGGTCCTAGTTATTGTAGGGCATTTCATCCAGGACCAATTACACATCATTACATTACATGTGATTTGTGGACAACGATATGGGACGTCCCAACTGGAAGTGTCCCAAGCCACGGTGGAAGGTTCGTGGGCGGGTTGCAACAGAGCTAGGTTTCAACCGAATAGTAGTACTAGTACGGGCACAGCTCCCTTCCGAGAAAACAATAAACAAGCAGGACTTGATGAACTTTTGGATTAAGAGGTAGCAACAGAGCAGACAAGGGGTCTCGCTCACTGGGCAGGTTGATGATGAGGACAAAAACTGCACACGACATGAGCTGACAAACATATTGATGACCATGGGACTTGGATGTTTGCAAAGGACATGTTTGCAGTGCCTACTCCATCGACGCGTGTCTACTCATGACTCCCGCAACCGGACTCCAAACAGACCAAGTCCTGCACGACTCGATGTGTGTTACAGCTTAAGTGGAAACATGAGTGGAAACGTTCCCACATGTATCCACACGACCAATGTGACGAAAAGCCGCCAAAAACCATTAATTATGGCCATGGTGTGGCTGTGGATGAACCCAACGCCGCTTCTCGCTTGGCTTGAGGTGTTCAAGGAGGCTGTCCTCTTCAGCTATGATCTACGCTCTAACGACAAGCAGCTCCAGGCGGCCATTGGGATGTTCCGAGACAATCACGCACGCCTGAAGGATGGCGGCGAAGCGATTCCTGCCATCATGCTGCCCGAGCGCCAGGACTGCGTTTCAATGGTGAGGGCTCGGTCGCGCTCCCCTCGGCGGTGTGTGGTGGAAGAAGTTGATCCAGTGGAACATTGGGCAAAGTTCCAGGGCTGTGGACAGCTTATGAAAGCTTCCTCCTTGGGTTTGGTCCAGGGTCACCATTTCAGGAACCAGTGGTACAGCTGGGCCAGTGGATGTTGTGGACAGTTTCGAACGCATGGTCTCCATGGTTGGCTCATGGATGTCAGAGGGGTGAAACCAAGCGGCCGCGGTTGGTCCAAGGGCGGCGGCTGTGTCTTCTTTCGAAAAAGTCCTGGAAAGCCCGCAGGCAGCGAGGAGGCAGAAGAGCACTGGAAGAGATATATACTTGGGATTACTTGGGCCCTACCCCACACACACACACACAGAGGCAGAAAAAAACATATCGTCCAAGTGATGCGTTCAGGGGCCCATGCGGGTGCTCATCCAATGGATATTCAAATAAATGAGTTGATCCTCACATGGATCTCATCGGGTCGCAGGATCTCATGGATCAATGGGAGCTGGTGGATGCTGCTTGGAATGAGCTGCTCCTGCACCTTGGTGGTGAGCTTTCCCCCCGACGGGGCCGGTCCGGAAGTCGGGTCCGGAACTCACGCGACGGTCGGGCTTTTTTTCGACGTCGGGGTGAAAACACGCAGATCGGTGTCCCATGGGAGCAAGCAGGAAAGACATTCAAAGGCATAAACAGCCGTAGGGTATTTGTTTATCATTTTTAGTCTCGCGTATGGGGGCGATTAGAGCAGTTGTGTGTTGACGCAAGTAATTCATTAGTGGTATGATGTGGTATGCTGCTTGGTGGCCCGAAAGTCTACCTCTCCCCACCTTCCCACCAAATCGTTGTTTAAAAGCCGCGGTGGGGTGGCAAGAATGGGTCTGTGTTCCAAAATGATCCCCAAAGTGTTGTAAGACACCGGTCTGAGTGGCTTTGTTTGAGTCTGTGTTCCAAGATGAGTTCTGCTCAGAAATGATCCATGTGTCCCGAATAAGCCGGATGCCGGATGCCCATTTGAGGTTTGTGGCCATGATCGATCAGGAGGGGTGGAGCTATGCCCTCGAAATTCCATGATAGACATGGGTTGCCTGTAGTTCCCCAAGGGCAACCATAAACAGCTTCAACTGAGGAGACCAGCCCGAGGGAGGAGTTGGACGAATTCGCTGTGAGTCATGGATCTTCACGGTTCTGACATGTCATGAGACCTTGGAGACCACCAGCCGGCCATATTTGGCTCAGTCAATGTATGTGCTCGGCCCCTGAAAACTCATACGACATCACCCCAGTCGAAAGGACATCATCATAAATCAGCCACTGCGAAGGCGCGTCGATTGCTCACCACGCGCTGTTCGCGCTAGGTCTCAGAATGAGATGACGGCCGACACAGTGACCAAGACGGAGGTCCTCCTGGAAAGATCCTCAGTCAAAGAGGGGGGAAGCCAAACGTGGCAAGTCTAAACAGGCACAGGGGCGTTCGATTTTTTGGTTGCTTTGTTGTTTGGAACCTCTAGAATGGCCGAGTACTTTGGGCAAAAACAGATTTTGACAACGGTTCAGACGCGTGTGTGTGTGTGTGTGAGAGAGGGGGTCACAACCTTGTGCGCTGCCTACCATTCTTATAAGCGCTGGTCACTGGAATCCACTGGATTTCAAGCATTGGCTGTTCTGTTTGAGAACGACGTCGAAATCCTTGTCCATGTGCATCCCTAGACTATAGGCTATGCGATGCCGGGATGCAAGAACTGAAGCACAGGCCAAGAGCGGCTTCAGTAGACTGTGCACGGGGTCTTGGCATTTCCTGGGAGGTGTTATGATATGACATCTGTCAGAAGACTAGTCAATGCCGTTGACCATCGTTGACCCAATCCCACGCGGCAACGCAATGGGCGCAAAAGTCGCCCTCAAGGTGTCGAGGGTAAGATGCTCCGGTGCCAAGGAGGTGGCATTGGAGACAACGGTGATATGTGTATCCAAAGGTGTTTAGCCATCCAAACATCATGTATCAACTCTTGGCCATCTCCAAGGTGTTTGGATAGTTCCCAAGCTGCGAATGGGTGCATGATGGGTGATACAGGAAAAGCGGAAGATGTGGTTCTTCAATGTGGTGGAGCCGCCACACCCAGGCTCCCCAAGAAGATAGGCAAGGATATGGATGGATACTGCAGATGGCTCCTGCAGAATTGTCAGATCAGAATCTACATGTGCTTGGTCCTTGGTGTAAAGCATCATCCTTTTTCATCACGCATTTACGGTCATGGCCGCGCCTGAGGACTGGTGGAGCAGCTTCAGCTCTTTGTGCCGCTCTGTGGCCTAGAAGATGCCACTGGGACCGCAATGTGCCCAATTCGATTCGCTGCATGGCGAGATGGACTGGTTCTGCCTGCGAAGCCACTTTAGCCCTTGCATCCACTCCAAAAGAGCACATACTGTATGCAAGAATGGACTCGCATGTTAGCAGGTGTGCCTGCCAGGCACTCCTGAGGTGAAATACCACCATCACCTGCCACCCGTTTCTGAACATTTTGGTCGGGTGTGGTCAACATGGGGACAGGGAGGCTCAAGGTTGGCCCGGAGACCTTGGAGCCTTGGTTCGTTCGAAAGACCCAAATATCTTCTTTTCACCCACCTGGCGGCCGGACTTTGCTGGCGGAGATGACGACACTCATCCCGACACCCATCCGACCGATCGGGGACCGGTCGACCGACGGGCGGAAGAGGCGATCGTTTGGTTCGCAAGAGCATTGCTGATTTTTTGTCAATTGCAGCATGTCCAATACACGCCCAGATTATCAGGTAGTCACTTGTGCTTTACTTGTGTCCAATACAGTTTGTTGTGGGGGCATTCACTTGTTCCCATTGGGCACCAGTGTAGAGAGAAATCCGTGGTCGTAAATCCTTTCATTGGCTCGAACGGATGGGCCTGGACGAACCGGGGATGGTCCTCACGTCGTTTGGATGTTCACTCCTTGGACCCTCCAGCGGTGACCTGGTCCTCCCTGGTCCCTTCCATCAATTCCCTGGTCGGAACTCCAGCCAGCGCGGGAACCCCGGCCTTCCTCTTCCTCCAGCGCCAGCGATCCGCCAAGGTGAAGTATCCAGATCAGTTCCCCTATTCATTGCTGGCCTATGGTGTCCTCGGATTTCTCTTCGTTTGCTGCTGCTGCCTCTAGGCCAATCATAGAACACGATGAACACGCCATGGGGTTCTGTGAGGGCGCGCCATTCTGGATCATTCTGGCCATATTCAGCATATTCTGGTGCTTTTTGGGGAAATGCGACCCCAGCGATCATCTTGGTTTCACCCATATGAACCATATGATTCGACAGTTCTAGTTTGTTCGCGTCATTCCTGGCAATGTCTTGCTATCAGCCCCACGCCAGCATTTCGCTCAACCACTCAGTGGAGCAAGCATGATGGGGACAAGAGGACAGCACCCCTCAAAGTGATCAGATGTTCTTTCCTGAGGACTGGAGTTGCTTCTTCACTGTCCTTTAAGATTTGCATGGATTTATTTGTGTTTCATATACGATCTTTTATGTGAGACGCCTGAGGGATTTTTTTTTTTCGAAACCATAGGTTGCTGGTCACTTGGGGGCCTATGTTGTTGTTTCTTGCCCGTTCTCGTGAAGCTCGCTGTGAGGCGTAGTGGCATTCAGGATCTTCTCCCACAAGCATAAGCGCCAAGCTCAAAATAAGAAGAGCCCTGCGTCGAGTTCTGCGGCTGCAGCAGAAAGGGATGATGTATGAAGTTGCATGTGTCGGTGATGGATTTCCAGAATCTTTCCAGACTGTTCCATGTCCAGAGCCACAAAGCAACACCAAGCACATATGGAAATCCAAAAAATCCACTGTTTCAGTGTTTCAAGCCTTGGCGGATTCAGCCGATTTGGTTCCATGACCAGCCCTGGAAGGATTGCCGAACCAGTCGCCCAGCTGAACCTCTTCTATCTTAATTGCTTATGGAGTTGTTGGAGGAATTGAGGGAGAACTGGAGAAAGAGTTGCTTTCCTTACTGGTACCGACTGGACCCAGTAAGAGAGAGAGAGAGAGAAGGATAAACAAAAAAACAATATCTTGAGGACACCCCCTTAGAATGGAAGCGGGTCACTTTACAAGAGGCCCTGTTCACTGCAAACAGAGCGATAACCACTGGCAGTGTCGAGTTCCGCTGAATTTTGTAGCATTTGTTAGCTTCCTTGGGGCGAAAAGATGCCTGCCGAAACGGATTCAACAAAAACTGACTCACTTCTACCCGCTGTAAGAGTCCTCTCAGTTGACCAAGTTTCCAGAATTAGGGCCTAATGCTAAGACTTGGCTTTTGTGACACTGATGACAGTATGATTTCCTATTGAATTCTGAGGGTTGGGTGCCTTCAACCACAGTAAGATAATAACTTTCTTGAGTACTTTCTTATTTTTCTTGCTAGTTTCCTTGTGTCCCTGTCTGGCTGTTGCTTTGAATGTGTTTTGACTATTGTGTATTCTTGCAATGCGTGGACTTGTTCTGTTTTTAACCAGCTCTTTTCGAAACCAACTGCATCAGGGGAATGATTAATTTGTGTGGAGACCAGCGGCGCGAAGACGAACGGGGCGTCAGAACGCCCGCTGCGAAGACGCGAATCCGGCATCGTGCGGCTCAGCGATGCCGTAATCATGGAAGTGTGATTATTAGGCCCCTTGGAGGACAATTGTTCTTTACAAAAGACAGTCGGTGCCATTCACTAGTACATGATCCTCACTACCGAAATACCTTCCAGGGCTGTCCTGCGTGATGGGCTCATGAGCTCAAAGGGAGAGATTCGTGGCCAAGCAAGGTAATTGTCGTAGTTAGGGAGAAGAATGACAGAATTCTTTGGAGATTATTGGCGTAGAAGCACTGACATGTCCAATTTTCTACCCATTGTGGTATTTCAATGATATGTATTGCTGAGATTCGATAACAATAATTTCAATATGCTGCTGTAACTCGGAGAGTCACAGCAGATTCGATAACGATGATTTCAATATATTACTGCAACTTGGTTCGCTTTCAGGTGGGTCCTGTTCCATGTTTCCCAGAGCCATGAACATGGCGGAGTTAATGCTGGCGCGTACAATGCACAAATATGTGTGACAGATAGGATAGTAGATCGGATGTTTTATCCGGGAGCACTGCATTAGGTTTGTTTGTTGAAGCACCGTGCTATTTGCAGGCTACTTGTATACTGCTACTTTTGAAGACCGGCTACTTGTACATTGCTACTTCTACATGTACATGTGACACACTCCCATTTACACCCTTGCATATGTACATGCATTGCATCTAGCACATGTATAGGTATACATTGCATAGATATGCATAGTAAACATGCAGGTCCTGTGCAAACTATCGCCGTGTATATTGCATAGTAGGTAGAAGTGCGCATGCATACTATCGCTCTGCATGTTGCATTTGTAGACCTTTGCAATATGTATATTATCATATCAATTGTGTGCGTGCGCAGGAGATGAGATGCCTTTTTTGTCGATTTGAGGCTTGGTGAACCCTCTGCAGGGATCGTGCGTGCCAGATGCTCAAACGTGAGGGCTTTTGTAGATTTGTCCGGTGGGCTGTGAACCCTCACTGGAGAGCGACAAAATTGTCAGTGTCGATCACAAATGGTGCCGCTTTGTTCCATCAAGCATGTCGTACAGGACATGGCAAAATTGCTTCAGTGTGCCATGCGGATTGGCACGGCCTCAGTGGAATGTGCGTTTGTGTGCGTCCGTGCCATTGGGGAACAGGACCAATGCGTGTGTAAATGCGGCGTGTCGTTCGTGAGGTCATGTCAACCAATCTTGGTGCCAATCAAGCATGCATGCCTAATAACACGCATGGGTTTCTTCATACAGCTACATACACACGTCCCCAGCAGAAACTCCATGAGGTTATACAGTTATACCTCTATCTCCATAGCGTGCACGTGTTTGCTCTCCCGGGCCACCGGTCGTCCAGTTTCCTTCTGGGTGAGTAGCGCCACAGCTTTGCTTATTATATGCAGTTATCACCCATGCATCGTTTGAAACGCTTCAGTCTCAGCGGAACTTCCGCCTAGTGCCAAGCCTAGGATTATATAAGCTGTCATGGTCCTGACTCAACGTTCCCCATAGCTACGGTACTTGTTCTCCTGAGGAAGATGCAGCAGTCATTGTTAAGTTCGCTAGTCGGGGAAACACTGGCACTGTAGGTATTCATGCACCAGAACATGCGATAGTTTTCCTCGTGTTACCTGTGGTTGATTGCTGTAGCTGCTGCCCGCTGATTGAAAAGCTTATTTGGATCTCTCCATCGCAGGACTTGCTGCAAGGTCCTCAGCGACACTCAGTCTTTGGTTTCGCTTTATCCGGGGGCACCTGCTGTGCAAATTGGACTGCATGGGTAAATATGCGCGGTAAGTCGCATGTTGTTTGCACAGAGCAAATACCACCCAGTACAGAATTAGTACAGATATGCATGCTCGTTTGTTCTCAGTGGAGTCAGGTGGTCCCCCATGGTGCCGCTATGTGCCGCTGTAGCCGAGGGAAATCCATTTCAGGGCCGCGGCCGCCAGCGGTTCCCCAAGGGCACCCCAAACCTGTTAGTTAGAATAGTGAACGCCATGTTATTGATTTTGGGGGGGTTGCCCTTGGTCTCTGAAATGTCCAGATCCCCTCAATGAATATAGCTACCTCAGTCTCGGAATGACCATGATGTGTGTCGGTGTCAATGCGACATATGTTCCAAAACACGTTTTGTGCGGACTCAGGTGCTGTGTTCATTTTGGAGATGTGGACATGTCTTTGTTTGAAGGTTTTTTGGAGCTCAAAGCTGCCCCGTCGCCAAGCGCCAGGCAATAAGCTCCGACTTGAATTTCAAGGAATTGTTCAGCATCATCATTTCGGTGCGAAAAGGGCATGGCGAAACAGGTCCTCGTCCTAGACGAGAAACGCCCTTGCGGGAAGGTCTTGATGTTCGTCTTGGGACGGTTCACAGATCGATTCTCAAAGAAAAACCACCGGTATGTTTGAGTCATCGGTATGCCTGAAGTATAGGATTCAAACATCGGTATTCAAACTCGTATGTTTACCATCACTTGGGATTCTCTTCACTTCGGTATTTTTGTCTTTGAAGTGATGATGGAAGTCAGTCACCCCTACAGTGCAGTCCTTAGAGGTCATGAATGAATGATCCATTCGTTCGGTGGAGAGATGTCCTTAGAGCTTTGGAGGGAGCGCCTGCCTGTATCAAGTGATGATTTGCGCATCGCTGTATCACCGAATGAATGCGCTCAAACTGGCAGCCGACCATCCCAGCTGCACAAGTTCTGGCAGACCGGGGCCAGGCGGTAAAATATATCACTGGAATCGATTTGTGAGATGGACCCAGGATGTGGAACAGGATGTTTCGATTGCTTCGAAGGGTTTGATATATTTTGACTCGGAAGGTGGTCAGGGTCGCAACGCATCATCAAGAATGTTTGTCTCATGATCCAGCACCTGAGATCCACATGCAGTCGATTGTGTGTTTGTTGCCTTACGGCCTCCAAGTGGTCTGTAGCTGGAAGGGACACAGATTGATTGGGGTCCCTCAAGTTCTTTCCAGCACATTTCAATGTCAAAGGCGGTATTGAGGCGAACCACTTAAGATTCTGAGTTTGTCTAAGTGTGCAATTGTTGCGCTGCCTTGTCCCGTAGCTGCCAGGACGGTCATGTTTGAAGGGAGCCCTCTCAAGCTCTCAAGCAAGCGACTGAAGTCAAAGAATTCCATAAGAGACCAGATGTGCGCAATCAGTGTGGCAACGGCAGCAGATCTGACATGACGTAATTGGAGCCACATGCAGAAATTAAATGTGTTGGTTCCCTGTTGGGAGTTAAATATAAGCAGCCGGAATCTAGCCAGAAGAGTTGCCCCAGTCTTACAATGGGGTGGCAAACGCAACAACTGACTACACTTTGATGTTTGTCCTTATTGGAGCCCGAAGCGGCCAGTTCAATACGAAATAGATGAGAGCGGTTGCTCAGGTTGCTCCCCAACCAGCCAGCCCAAGGAAGACCCAGTCGACAATTTGGTTAAGTTTGAACCTCTTGTGACATGTTCATCCCAGCCTCTGAGAAATTGACTACTTTATGTGGGAGACTTCGATCGTGGCCTTGAGGCAACGCATTGGGAGTTTTTAAGATCCCACGCAGCGAGCTTGGTGGCGTGCACTCGTCAGTCCCTGGATCATCGTGTGCTGAAAAAATACAGAGCCGCGGCTTTATGCTCGCACACGGCTCAGCCACAGGCCACAGGATCGTAATTTGGGCTACTGTATCGAGATTTTGGCCCTTGGTGGAACAGCGTTTTAAGATGCGAAGCCATGTGGCAGTCCGGGTCAACACCTGCAGTCAACACCTGCAGTCTGGCTTCCAGTCTTCACTTCAACGGTCTGTATTTCGCTATCTCGAAAGGATTTCTGGTGCCGCAATCAGCCACCGCACTATTATCATCCATTATCCGGCTGGCTGGCGGAATATGCCACCAAACGATACCAACGTATATCTAACTATAGCCGGTTGGCGGCGGAAAATAGATTTAGTTTTTGCGCCCCAAAATTCCAGGTATGACGGAGCACAGTCTCACACCTGATTGAAAGATATCCGGGTGTGGTCATTTTAGATTTTACTATGCGGAACACGTTATCATTGGAACTCGGCATTATTTCAATGCCACCACCTCAACTGCCAAAGTGCAACCACTTGGGGTACCCG